GAGAGGTACAGGAAAACAGGGTAGAGCAGAACGAAACACACATACGAACACAAAACGAACAACGGTTAGGTCCAGCCCTGTGATGAGCACGTTGCGGCCTTGAGGTGCATTGTCTCGTATCGCTTCTTCCAGCGCCGTGGTCTCCTCTCGTGCCCACGGAAATCGGATGACCCCTCATGTGTGCCGGCGTGGGGGCTCTGTTGGACCTTCTGCAGAAAATTTCGCTTTGCAGTATCGTTTAACCCACCCCCATCCCCATCCCCATCCCTGTCGAGACCCCCACCAAATTACCCCCCCAGTTGGGGACACACCCCTCGAAACCAGAAGGGAACGGCTTACACATCCCCATCCAGGGGGGCATGTCGGCCAGCGGGGCCCAGGCCACGCCGCCGGGTGTAGGGATCAGATCAACGAGGTTCAGCCTTCTCACTTCCCCCCTTCGCTCGCCGCCGATCCTCGGGTCGGCGCGGGCCCCCCTCCCCACGTCTCCCTCCCTGGGGCGCGGAGCGTGCCGCCGCGCGGGAGCCGCCGCATGGGTTCAGATGGCGGGCATCTGCCAACCTTCGGAGGTCCGCGCAGATTTCGTGGATCGCGGCCCGATCCCACTCCCCGGCGCGCGTAGCGCGCCACGGGTGGCGCCGCAGTGGTCTCCAGCGCCGGTCCAAGAAATCCGTGCAGACCATCGACAGTTTGCGTCTAGGCCTCCTAGATGGAGTCCGAGTCGGTGGGGTCGGAGGATCGCGCCGCATCGCTGATGCATTTGCCATGCGGCTCGAAAATGAGCCCGTCTTCTCCCACGACGACGTCGCCGATACATCGCCGACGTCGCCGATGCATCGCCGTTGCATCGCCGATACATCGGCGATGTGTTGGCGAAGCGGCGCGGGATCCTCCGACCACGTCTACTCGGACCTCATATGGGAGGCCTCTAGTCGACGGTTTCTGCCCTAATACTGCTGTTGCTCCTCGAATCTAGCCCAAAACGTTCCAGAGCGAAAGTTTCTTCGGCCGCAAGCCCGAGTCTCGAGCTCGACGGCCCTCTTCGAGGACGAGGGATGGGCAAGGCGGAGCGGCGCCCCCCCAGCCCACATCGCTCTTCTCTCGCTCTGCCTCCCTGGCCCAGGAGGGGGAAAGGACAGACACAATTCATCGCCGACTTCAGTCGGGCATGTCCCTCCACGGGAGGAATATTCAAGAATAATGAGAAAACCAGGCTAGTGGCGATTGTTCGTGCTCTTTGGAGTATTATGTATGTTCTTTATTTTTGTATGCTTGTTTTTTTGTATACCAATTTTCAATGTTTCGACTATTTTCAATTGTCTTCCAAAACCCGCCTGTAAGAGGACATGCCCGACCTAATCGTAGACCCCCAGGAAAGTGTTGGAAAATATGGGAGGTGGGGGGGAGACGAAAGCGCAGAACGCAGGGGGAGAATAGGGGAAATCCTTGGATTTGTGTGTATTGGTTTGTGCGTCCCTGCGCCACTTGACTGGCTTTCTCTGGGCGCGCTGGCGGTCGGGAACTTCACGGGCCCTGGAGCCAGCAGGGCCGCTCTCTTGTTCCGCCTTCGTTGCTCAGTTTTGTTTCGCGTTGCCCCCGCTGTTTTTTGATGTCTCCGGGGCCGCCGTTTCACCGTGTTCGTTTCCCCTGGCGGGGGCCTGCTCCGGATCGCAATTTTGCTGTACCGGACCCGGACCGGTTCCGAACGACCTTCGGGTCCATGAATTGCCTAGACCGTTTCAGTGAGCAGTTGATGTACCGTCGGTCATATTTTTGTTGCTGTGCTCGTGACCAAGAGGCGGTCATTTGAAAACGGCATAATAATTACCCTGTTGTTTTCAGGGCCCTCTGGAGTCGAGAACCAGAGAGCCAGCCAAGCGGCACAGTAGCTGATTTTCCGGCGGCTTCGGGTTTCCCAGCGTTCTTTTGGAGCACGGTATCGATCGGTCGCGCCGACGCATTTCCATAGGAGGTTCGTTCTCAGGTCGGGGTCGGATGCAACCGCTATCTTGTTGACCTGCGACCCAGATGGCTATCCCTGGTACTGAGTTCGTTCGAGTCTTTGTTCTGGGCCCTGAGCTGTGCGCTCGAGTTGAAGGGCCCCGAGGCCGCGGAGCCTCGGCCGCAAAGGAGGGTGCCGGGTGGGCCCGCTGTCCGAAGGCTTACGATTACCAGCCTGGAACATATCCCTATCCCTATGTTGGTTGGGAGCCCCCAAACCAGGTGGTGGGATACCAGGTGGCGACCTGGAATCTCCAAAAAGGTCACCGCTGGGTTTGGGGACGCGGGGTCACCACCGGGTTCTGTGACTCCCGGACCCACCAGTGTCCGGGACATCCTCGGAAAACCGCACGAGTCCCCAAACCGGGTGGTGACACCAAATCGCCCGAGACTCACCGCCAGGTGTTGTCACCACCACGTTTGGGGATTACCAAGTTGGGCATCTCCTCATCACGATGCCAATCTTACGGACTCCCTTACTCTTTGAGGGCGAATCCCTGAGATTGTCATCGCCTTCTGGCGTGTCAATCTTAGGCATGGGGATGAGTTCGAGGCTGGTAATACAATCGCCTCTGATTCGGGGGGTGGGCGTGCGGCCCGGGATGGCCCCGAATTGCCCCCCAAAGAGGGCCTCCAGCCACCAGCCTCGAACGTATCCCTATCCCTAAGATTGACACGCTAAAATCGGGGGTTGACAGACCTCCTACCCTGACACGTCGATTAGCGAATTGGCCGTTTTCGGTTCGCGGGTTTTCGGTTTCGGTCCCAGGCCGCTTTCACTAAAGGGAGGTTTACTAAAGGGAGGTTTGTCCACCGCCAATAAAAGGAGATGACAGTCTTAGGGATACACCCTCAGAAACAGAGGAAATCCCTAAGATCGCCATCGTGATGAGGCGATGCCCAACATAGGGATAGGGATATGCTCCAGGCTGGTAATCCAGGGGCCCCAGTTTTGCTCAAGACAGCCTGGAGAGACGCCTCCAGAGACGCTCCTGCGAGCCCCCGGGTTCCCAGATGACCCTCCACGACGCCTCAGAGAAGCCACACGCTGTCGAGCACCGAATGGACATCTATGAGTTTTGCCGTCTCGCCTTTTCGCCTCCAACGGGATGCTGAGGCCTCCAGATCGCCGCCAGTACGCCCAGGGGAAGATCCAAGACGCATTTGAAAGTCCCGAGGACGGCCCCAAAACGTTGCCAAGAATCCCAAGAGGGCTCCAAGCGGCACCCCAGAGGCCCTCAACATGTCCTGGAGAGGTCTCTGGGAGAAACCGAAAAGCCCCCAGGCACCCCCCAGGCGGCCTCCAGGAGTCTCAGACGGCACAAGACAGCCTAAACGCTCGACAGCCTCAGCGGGCCCCAGGAGACTCTCCACGACACCTCGGAGAAGCCAAACACCGTCAACAAAAAGAAGGGCAATCGATGAAGTTTGCCTTTTCGCCTCTGGTGGGCTGCTGAGGCCTCCAGATCGCCTCCGGCAGGCCCCCGGGAGGCCCAAAGAGTCTTGGGGCCAAGAACGCCGAGACGCCCGCAAACATGCCATGCCCCAAGACGCTTGCAAAAATGGGCCTGGGCGCTTGCAGACACGCACCAATTGCGCCCTCAGCAGGGCTTGCTCAGAGCACCTGCTGAGGCCCTCTGGGGCTCTCGCTTGGGGCCCTTGAGGACCTCCGCCTCTCTGCCCGTGCCTCTTGGGAGGAGGAGGAGGAGGAGGAGGAGGAGGAGGAGGAGGAGGAGGAGGAGGAGGGGGCTCCCTAGAGGCGCCATGACAGAGTCTTCTCTGCGGGTCCTCTCTGGGCGCCTCTCGGGGCCCTCTTGTGCCCCGTCTCGGGGCCTCCTAATTATGGGCCCTCGTGGCGCCTGCCGTGGGCACCGCCTGTGGCCCCCTCTCGTCTGGGGTGCCCTTGGGATCTTCGACTGCTCTGTGGACCTCCCCTGTGCCACCCCCCCTGGAGGGAGCTTGGGACCTCCTCGGAGCGCCTCGTGGGCAATGGTCTTTGCTCGGTCCGCGTGATTCACACCTGGTCACCCCATGCTCAAGACATGTGTCAGTAACTCCTCGCGTGACATGTATGCGTAAGTGCGCATCTGCACGCAGTTGTCAGATTGTCAAGGGCAGGCGCTTGCTAGAACCCATGCGCGCGCTCTGCGCGTGAGTGGTTCTAATGACGCCTATATTGGGGTCACGATCTGCCGGTCTTGCTACATACACATATGTATATACACACATAGCGATGCATCGATGCCGGTATCGGTTTGTCGGTCTCACTGTCTGTCTGGCCCAACGACACTACGGAGAACCACGGACCAACGCTGGGACAATTGCGGACGAGCCACGGGACAACCACGGTACAATTTTTGGGCCTATGATTTCCAACCTATGTTAGCCTTGACCTCCAGAAAAAAAATGAGCACCAAGATTTCGAGCACCAAGAGAGTACCGAAACTTGAGGGTTTTCACCCGTCGGGCCCTGGGAGGCGATACTCGTTCGACACTGCTTCGATTCTTTTTCTGGGTGCTCGAAATTAGTTCTGGGAGGTGGTCCTTCAGTGCGGTGGGAGCAGCGTAGCCCTGGGCAGCCATGCGACAGCTGTGGCACAACCACGGAGCGACCACGGGACGGCAAACGGACCGTGCCAGCACTCGCGGGACAACCAGAGAGTAACCCCAGAACAACCAGAGCACGTCCGCGGGAGCCACCGCCCGGCGGGCGGGGAGGAACAGTATGATCAGGTCGGGCATGTCCCTCTACATGAGAAGTATTAGGTACAAGACAACTATGGGGACGATGTGTCTACTATGTGTGATTTTGTTTGCATATGCTTTGACAATTTTCAGCTTCTCCTCGAACATCTGCCTGTAGGGGGACACGCCCGACGTCACAGTACGATGATGGCAATTTGCTCTACCAACTGCCGCGCCCTTGAGAAGTTCCGCCTCACCTGCACGGGCGCCACGCGTGACACGAACCAAAACCGTCTCCTGGCTCGAGGATTCCATTCCCGGCCTCTGCCTATGTCCGGAGCCACTTTGGCTCTAGCCTCACTTGCTGAAGCACGAGGTCCCGATCGCCTGTTGCCCCCCACCCTTCAAGTAAGACTTCGGCTGCCGTTCTTGTCTGACGAGATGGCGTGCTTCAGCTGCTTCTCTGGGCTCTTCTCCTCCGCTCGTCACAGCGGCGCGGCCGCGCAGCCAGAGAAGCTGCAGGAAGACCTGCGCGACGGGTGCGGCGCTGTCGACGGGGCGCAGGTGCTCCTCACGGAGCCCGCGGAGGCAGTGGCAGCGGCACCAGCCGACGAGGAGCTGGACAGCGCGGTCGCGGAGGCGCCGCCGACGGCAGCCGAGGCCGACCCCGAGCGCCTGGCCACGCAGAGCTCCTGCATGGGCACGGCCAGCATCCCGCCCGCGGCGCCGGAGACCGCAGCGGAGGCCCTGGCGGCGCCGGCGCACTTCGAGGGCTCGGACGCGGAGGACGGCGCGACCGGCCGGGCCGCGAAGGGCTGCTGCGTGCCGCGCGCGGGGCGCCGGCGCAACAGGGGCGCCAAGGCGGTGAAGCGCGAGGGCCAGGAGGCCACCCCGAAGGTGATCATTTTTTTATGATCTGTTTTGCCGAGCGGCGCGGGCCCCCAATTTCCCCCCCCGGCTCACCCCCCCCCAGGAGTAGATCTTCGCTGTTTGGGGCGCCTGCTTCGAGTGGGTGGAGTCTCCCCCAGGGGCAGCACTCATGCAAACAGTCGCACTGAGCAGAGGTCTGGAGCCAGACCCCCAACCTCCCCCCTCCCCTTCCGCCCCATGTCGAAGCGCCGAGCAAGAAAACGCTCACAAGGCGGTGAAGCACGAGGGCCAGGAGGCCACCCCGAAGGAGGCCGACTCGGCGCACGATGGCAGCCCCGGGATCACGGGCAGGACCACGGCGTCGGCGGGTGCGTGAGGACAGAGCTGCCAGCCACCGGCGCTGCAGCGGGACGGCCCCGTGCATCTCTTGCGCTCGCAGCGCGAGGTTGGTTGGCTGGCGATGGGGGATAGGGCTGGAGGGTTTCTCCGAATGTCTCAGGCGACCCCTCCTCCTCCTCCTCCTCCTCCTCCTCCTCCTCCTCCTCCTCCTCCTCCTCCTCCTCCTCCTCCCGCCCCCCTCCCTCCTCCTCCTCCTCCTCCTCCTCCTCCTCCTCCTCCTCCTCCTCCTCCTCCTCCTCGGGTCGCCTACGGCTCCGGGGGAAACCCTGCAGATAGGGCCTCCCAAGTGTGGATGCAGGCGTTGCCCGCTGGCGAATCGTCGCGCCGCTGCGAACGAAAAGTGTGTGTCGGTGTGCTTCGATCCTCCCGATAGGACCAGGCGGCTGCAGGGCGCGCAAGTAATTAGTTTGGCCTCTTGGCCAAAGTGAATCATGCCTTCATTCTAGAGCGTCAAGTAATGTATCATATTCTTCCTGTCCAGGGCTGGGGTGACCCCAACCTGGTGGGCAGATACATTGTCATGCATGTGCTGGCAGGCGTGGAATGACCACGTTCTGCTCGCCACTTACGTACCCAGTGCTCTTAGGCTGACCCCCATCGAGGGTTCAGGGCCGAGAGTGTTGCGTACGAGTGTAAGTCATCTTTGCACCCCGAGAGGGCCTCGCGCATCGCGCATCGAAGCGTCGGTCTCGGACAGGATGGAGAAAGTGAATTTGATCCCAATGTCTGTCGATGTTGCATTGTTGAAGTCTGCAATGATATGTCGATATGTCGCGCAACGTTGCGACTTGGTATGCCATACAGTGGTAGGCTATGGCTTGCCACGCTATGCAATACCATGATCAGCAGCCAGTGTATGGTTTGCAGTGCGCACCCGTGTCGTGTTTGGCTCAGCTACCCGTGTCATGTTCTAGGTTGTGCTATCAATCTTGCGGCAAGGGACCCAATTCTAACGGGAAAGGGGTCCAGACCTTTGGGGGTCGACGTTTTGAACATCAGCCTGACGAAGGACCCAACCATATGCAGATGCGAGTACCGCATTGTGGGTACCAGTTTCGGTGGAGCTCCTTATTGGGCCACGAACCGTGTGAGGGATGTGCCGAAGTGGACGCAGTGGTGCCATGCGAACCTTCCCACTTGAGCCTTCGGTGGAGCTCCTCATGGAGCCGCGAATCGTGTGATGGGTGTGCCGAATTGGGCGCGGTGGTGCCATGCGAACCCTCCCACTGGAGCCTTCGGTGGAGCTCCCTGTGGGGCCACGAACCGTGTGAGTGGTGTGCGTACTTGGGTAATTACGGTGATGTCATGCGAACCCTCCCATTGGAGCCTTCGGGGGAGCTCCCTGTGGGGCCACGAACCGTGTCAGGGGTGTGCCGACTTGTATGCTGTGGGGTCATGCAAACCCTCCCTTTGGAATCTTTGGTGGAGCTCCCTGTGGGGCCACGAACCGTGTGAGGGGTGTGCCGAAGTGGGCGCGGTGGTGCCATGCGAACCCTCCTTTTGGAGCCTTCGGTTGAGCTCTCTGTGGGGCCACGAAACGTGTGAGGGGTGCGCCGAATTGGGGGCGGTGGTGTCATGCAAACCCTCCCACTGAAGCCTTCGGTGGAGCTCCCTCTGGGGCCACGACACACGTGTGAGATGTGTGCCGAACTGGTGGGCATGCGGAGGGCAGGGTCAGGAATGGAAGGAGGGATGAGGAGGGGAGGAAGGAAGGCGGAGGAACGTGGGGCGCGGTCGCTCCAAAACGAGGACCCGACACCACAGGATGGTCGGAAACCGCCACGACTTCGGTGGATCCGGGAGTGCACCTCGGACGTTTCTGCGGCTTGTTCGAGGTCTACCACCTCATGCTGGTGGCTCCGCTGCTCGGACGCAGCTGCCCTGTACCCTCTCCGGCGCCCTCCCTCGCCGACCGACATGTTCTGACTGGGCCCCGTCCTTCTCTTCGTGTCTTCGTGCTTGTTTTGCTTTGTTTTTTTTCCGTTTCGTTTCTTCATTCGCTGCTAGGGCATGCCACCGCTCGCTTAGACCAGCGCCTGACCGTCTCGCACACCCGGGCGCCCGCGGACTTCAAACGTCCGTCCGCTGGTCGCGCCGTTTTCGAGCTGACATGCCCAGAATGCACGTGATATTGTCTACCTTCGAGCGGGCAGGGACCTTAGGGCGCTGCGCCGGGTGTCCAGAGGGCAAGACGGCAGATAATGAGTCAGCATGAGATGGCCGCGCGCCCCAAGTGGGGCGGAGAGATGGCAGGTTCGATCGCAGGCTTTGTTGGGTGGGTCTGCGCATGGGGCCTCTCGTTGGTGGACACCGGCGGTCCCTTCCGACGCGCCCGCCAGTCGTTCCCCATGTTGTTGAGCTACGAGTTCACTCGGCTTGCCTTTGCCCCTTCGCCGGACGGACGCAGCCCACGCGACGAGGCGGGCGGGGCGTTGTTGTTTGCGCCCGCGCGTTTGAGCGCCTGCTTCTCTCAGGCCTTTGGGGGTCTCCCCGTCCCCGCGGTTCAATGTGACTTTTGATAGATTAGTCAGGAGCATACAATTCTTGTTGCGGGTCTTCACATCCGGGGATGTGGTGCACGCGGGGGCCCAGCGGCGGATACACACCAGGGCGTTAGCAAGGCTGAGGTGCCTGAAGCAGACCTTCCTTGCGCACAGAGGAAGCGCGCATGCGCATGCACGCGCACGCATTACATGTGTATCATTTGATGTGTGCGTGTGTGTCAGCAGTCATCGTTGCCCTTGTCAGAACCACGGGTCAAGGTAGCCGATGCTGCGGAATCCGCCACTGGCATCCGTGTGCGACTTACCGCTCGTCCCGAATTTCTGGCGACAAACTCGGGGTCATTGCGTACTGTGCTGGCGCTCGGAGATTCCACCGCTTGAACTCCACCCCAAGTTCATTCCGTGAGAGATAGGGGATGCATTGACCGTTCGGCTAGACAGGCTATGTCCAAGTAAACACTCATGCAAAACAGCGCATTCCACCGTCAGCGAGGATCCCCTCAGCGCAAGCATTCTTTAGGGGACACCGTGAATTGCGACTGCATTTGCCGCTGATGTTAGCAGTTTGGACATTCACATGACGGCTCAACCTTCGGTGCCACATTCACCCACCCCAGGTCTTCCAGTCGAAGGGGGCGCGATCATATTCAAGGTCACTACGTATTCCCAGCATTTCTCACCTCTCTTCGTTCCCTCATCCCTCCTTGTCTCTCTCCCCCTGTCGCTGATGCTGCTCCTCGTCTTCCGCCTCCACCTTGTTTTGGTCCACTGCCTCGCTCTTCCTCCATGGCCCATGGCCCTATCCCCCCCCCCTCCCTCCGCACTCCTCGCGTGCACGCCTTCTCAGGCTTCCTCTCATGCATACTGCGCCCCTGACCTCGAGAGGCCGAAGCGCTTCTGATGGGTCTTCCCCCCCTCCCTCCGCACTCTCCGCCTACACGCCTTCTCGAGCTTCTTCTCGGGCACACTGCGCCCCCGACATTGAGAGGCCGAAGCGCTTCCGATGGGTATCCCCCCCCTCCCTCCGCACTCTCCGCCTGCACGCCTTCTCGAGCTTCTTCTCGGGCACACTGCGCCCCCAACCTCGAGAGGCCGAAGCGCTTCCGACGGGCATTCCCCCCCCCTCCCTCCGCACTCTCCGCTTGCACGCCTTCTCAAGCTTCTTCTCGTGCACACTGCGCCCCCGACCTCGAGAGGTCGAAGCGCTTCCGATGGGCATTCCCCCCCCTTCCCTTCGCACTCTCCGCCTGCACGCCTTCTCAAGCTTCTTCTCGTGCACGCTGCGCCCCCGACCTCGAGAGGCCGAAGCGCTCCTGCTGGGTGCCTACGCCACGTTCCTGGAGCACACCGGCGCACCGCCCAGGCGGGTGACGGCTGCGCGCGTGGTGCTTGGGCGTCCGGTGCGGAAGCGTGGGGGGGGGAGGTTCGAGGATCCGGGAGGGTCTCGATCTCGACACTCCTCCTCCTCTTCCTTCTCCTCCTTTTCCTCCTCCTCGTCCTCCTGTTCCTCCTCCTCCTTTTCCTCCTCCTCCTCCTCCTCCTTCATTAGCATGCGATGGTCCTCCTCCTCCTCCTCCTCCTCTTCCTCCTCCTCCTCCCCCTCCTCCTCCTCCTCCTCCTCCTCCTCCTCCTCCTCCTCCTCCTCGGGGGGGGAGCACTGCAGGTCGGGAGAAGCCAATGGTACCGATACGGCTTCCCCTGCCTTGTATCTAGGCCTCCCAGCTGGTGTCCGAGTAGATGGGGTCGGAGGATCGCGCCCTACCGCCGATGCATCGCCGATGCTGCTCGATGTGGAGCCCGATTTGCTTCACGCCGACGGCGCCGATGCACTGCCCACGTCGAGGACGCGTCGCCGGTGCATCGCCGATGCATCGCCGATGTATCGGCGATGCGGCGCGATCCTCCGACCCCATCTACTCCGACCCCATCTAGGAGGCCTCTATATATCGGGGCTGGACAGAACCCCCAACAGTGACACGTCGATTAGTGAATTGTCCGTTTTCGGCTTTCGAGAGGGCGCCGTGGCCGTTATTTTCCAGGCTTGCGCCCGCCGGGTTTGGGCCCGAGGTCGTTTTCACTAAACCACGTTTTGCTAAAGGGGGTTCTGTCCATCCCCGAATATAGTCAACCCGCAGAATAAGGACGCACGATAGGGATGTAAGGGCCTTGGAAGGCCATGTCGACACTTCACGAGCGGCGCGCGGCCGGCGAAAGTGGCCAAGGATTGGCCGAAAGGGGAAGGATGCAAGGGTACCCTTGGAAAGTTGCTCATCCTTACAATGCGGGTTGACTGCACAGTGGGGGTCTATGCCAAGAATCACCCTGCTGGCCTCCAGGGTGCCCTGTGTTTCTTGGGGTTTGATGGTTTTGCTGTGAAAAGCGTGACGTCCCCAGGCCAGAAATCGATGTACGTCCTGGGGTTTCAGGGTTGGCTCTCTTGTGGAAGGGTTCTTGTATTCGAGCCCCTACTGTAAAGTCGGGCGTGTTCCCCTACAGGAGGAATATGCAAAAATAGTCAAACAATAGTCGGGGGACGATGTTTTAACTATTCTTGGCTATTGTTTCCAGATTATATGAAGATGTTTATAATTTGTCGTCAATAATCCGCCTGTAGGGGGACATGCCCGACCTATAAAACTCTTGCCTCGTTTTCGCCTGTTTGGGCCTCCTGACAGACTCATCGTCGCCACCGCTGGAGTCGCCTCGAAATGCTGGTCAGAGCGCACCCCAGAGAGTCCCCTGGAGACTAGCGGAATCGGTGCCTCTTGGAATCCCCAGTGGGAGGAGGGAAGGCCAGTGTGGAGCGAGACCGCGAGGGAAAGGGAGGGAGGGCAGCTCGGAGGGATGGACGGATAGAGATACACGGGGCGAGAGGAGGCAATGACGGGGACGCGCTTTGTCACATGCTGTTTGTTTTGTGAGGCCCAGCCTGATCCGAATGGGGCCAGATGCCAAATGGCGGCGTCGCGACGTCAGCAAACATTCGTGCGTACTACTTCCGGCGGAACCATTTCAACCATGACTGTTCAGGGGACCTTCGACTGCGACGTCTGCGTGTAGGTCGCATGCGACAGTGTTTGCCTGGCTTTGGGGCTCTCGGCGACAAAGTTGTGACGCATGAGTGGTTGATTCTCGCATGGGGCATAGCACGTGCGCGCCATAGCTCAACTCAGCCAATGTCTGCGCAATGCCGAGCTCCATCTTGAGTTGACGCTGACTTCCAGTTTATTATGAGTTTCCTCCAGCTGCGCTCAACAATTCATAGTGAAGTGGCTTACCATGGCTTGTCCTCAACGCCTTAGTATTTGGGGATAGTTGTCCAAACTCCCGCCTCAGCTACCGCAGTGGTGAATCTGCACCAACCGCTCAGTGCTGTCATCGGAGTGCAGATGTAGCGGATTTTCGGCAGCCCTGGCATGAACATTTTGCCAAGCTATCTTCGT